TCTGCTTTTACTTGGTCCTGGTGGCTTCGGTCTGTTCATTTGTTTAGAAGCCTTGGTTTTTATAAGGTCAGCTAGAAATCAGTCAGCTACCCTTCCCATTCTAACACCTAATATATCTCTAAATACTAATTTCTGATTTTAAAATAAACTGGTGATATCAAATCTTTAAGTTCTTTATTTAAATATTTTAGTAAATAGTAGTCGTATGTTGAATTTAGGAGTTCATGAATTTTCTTGTAAAATGCATGATAGGAACTCTGTTGAAAGTCAATGTGATAGTAGTCTGATTGCTTAATTTCAGTGGGGACCTTATGTTTTGATTCAGTTTTGTTATTGTTTTGTGAAGGGTGTTGCTGTTGCTTTTGCTTTGATTTTCATAGTTTTCCTTAGTCTTTCTCATGACGACTTGAACTGATGCATCCCAAAGATATTTAGCTTCTATTTTGTTTTGCTTTTAGACACTGACTTTTGATATATAAGCTACAAGCTAGCCCAAGATCACCAAAAGCATGTAATCCTGCAGCCTCAACTTCCCCCTGTGAACTAGGATTACTGATATACCCCAGCAATTCTTGGCAATATTGACATTTTGAAGTTGCATTTTGTATATTTATGTTTGTGATGTTCATGAGCTTACAGGCAGATGATCATGATCATATGCCACCACTCAACCCCGGGGGGAAGAAAGAGTGAAACAAAACTTAGCTGCATAGCCTTTTTTTTAAACATAAGCAGAACAGTTGCTTCCAGCTGTCCTGTTGAGTGGCTGGGTGATGGTTCAACATTGAATGTGTGAGGGCTTCGATCTGGGAGTTAAATACTTCTCTTTCCTGAGAGAAAACACTGCCTGTCCTTCTATGATAAATCTTAAGCTTAACAGTGTCCTTCCAGATTATTCTTCTCAGCACCAGATAATTAATAATAAGTGAAATAATTTACCTAAAGTGTAAGCTTCAGCAGTCAACATTACAGTGAGAGCCAGAATTGGCCAAAGTGGCAATAGCCCCAGCTGTTAGTCCTGTCTTGAGTCTCTCCTCTGGCTCCTTTTGCTCATTTTTCTCTCTGTGTCTGCAATTTTAATCTCCCTTGTCATTGCATTTTCTCTTTGATAAGTCCTCCTCTGAGAATCTCTTCTCCTTCCCCCTCTGAGAATCTCTTCTCCTTCCCCCTCTGGGTATCTCTTCTACTTTCCCTTTGCTGGAGTGACCAGTGATGAGGCACTGACAGCCATGTCTGCCCTCCTCTGAAGATGCCTTCCCTGAGCTCTCTTACTATGTAACTACTCCGCATCACATAACCCTCCAAGTAGATGGCCTGCTGGTGCTTCAGATCTGCTCACATCCAAACCAAGCTCTCTAAGCTAGCACTTTGTCTCCTGTTTTCTATGAACATTTCCATCATAGCCAAAGCTACACAGTATCAAAATCTGAGAAGATTGTCACAGAGGAGCTGATAGTATCCAGAAATGACATCTCATGGAAAAGCAGAAATAATAAACATCTACAGGTACACAGGCATATACTATGTATACACATGTGTGTATATACAACACATTCACACATACACCATTGTTGGAAGATCACTATTGCTTAGTTTTGTGACTTTGACTTTTAGGTAGAGCCATGCAGTGATATACATTCTTTTATGCCTTGATCCATTGCTCAACATTTCATTTCAAGACTTGTGCATGTGTATAGCTGTCTAGTATTCTATTATGTGAAAATTCAGGAACAGATATGCCATTTTCCAGTTGAGAGACATTTACTTAGTTTGCAGTTTTTCACTATCAATAAACACCTCTGTGACTATATATTAAAAGCATGTGATCTCAGGTACTGAGATCACCTTGTGTGAACTGTTTCTTTTAGGACTGGATCAATTTTATGTAGTCAATGTGGCCTTGAACTAACAGAGATCCATCTACCTTTTAATACTGACTCCTGGGATTAAAGGTGTGTACTACCACTGCCTGACCTCTATAACTTGTGGCTAACTTTGCTTTCTCAATCCTCAGGAAAGCTTTAATAAATCATAAATAATATATCACTACCTAATTATGTATGTCCTAAATATCTGCCTATTGGTGAATTACTGAGCCAGGGGTAGAAACATTTCCTTATCTTTGGGAGATATTGACAAGTTGTTTTCTATGTAATTTCAAATATTGAATGTCTTACCAACAATATTTTATCTAATTATTTGGCATACTCTGGAAGCCTTGATATTATTACACATTTTTTGTTAACCAAGCTTTGAAAAAAATTCACAATAGTTTCAATGTACACATAAAATTTGGCTGATCCCAAGTAATGATCTCCTGAACCTGGCTTCTGAATTCTCCCTATGGAACCATCATATCACAGTAAACTGTCTGAAATCTACCTGAATCCTAAATAGTAAAAAGCTAAAACAGGAAAAAATCATTTTGTTCTTTTGTTTTCTGAAGTTTACAAAACATGTCTGAAATCCTTGTCACTTGGGAGAGAGATTAACTTTTCTTTGATGTGGACGGACATACGAGACCTGAGAGTTGGGCATTCCTGTCATGTGCCATCCTCACTGTGCCTGTCGTGGCTCAGGACCCTAACAAGGGGCAAATCAGCTTCTTAAGCACTGGGCTTTATTTAGACAGACAGCAGTTATAAGTGCAGCACCAGGAATCTCTTCCTTTCTGCCTCATCCCTTCAGAGTAATCCTTTTGTCTTCTGCTGACATTTTAAAACAGAGTTGATAGACCTCTGCTTTCTAGGGGGTAAGTGTCTAGACAGTGAACAAGATTGCAAAGGCCTTTCCAAGTCTGACTTTATAATTGACATAACTCAGTCATCTATTTTGCACAAGAGAGCTAAAAGTGACTAAGACATCTCAGACCCCGGGGGCAGAGATCTGTTTATGTGCTGTATATGTGTGTGTGTGCTTTGTGAAAGCATGCGTATGTGTGTGTGTGTCTGTGTGTGTGTGTGTTTGTACATGTATATGAGTGTAGATTGTGAAAATGTATGTGTAATGATAAGCTGTTATTTTTACAGTATCTTTTTCTGCTATGATAGTTACTTCTGTATTTTCTATAAATTGCTGGGGATATTATTGTCATCTTGATACTGTATTAATGCCTCACACATTGGCATAATCAGGTTGTCTGCCCTTGGCTTACTTGGAGCAATCAAGATACATCCCAGGTTGGGGGTAGTCAGTCATGTTTAATTGTGCATAGTCTAGAGACCAAGGAGGACTGGTCAGTGAATTCAGTTTTAATAGTCTATTCAAATAAATGTAGATGCAGGGATTTTAAAATTATCATACATAGCTGATATTTCTGGACTTCAGTTGGTTATTCCTTTACTCTACTACCAGATCTTAATATGTTATCAGCCACTGACAATAACAGTTTCTACTTGTCTTGTGGGAATTTACAAGCATTTTCATTTGTACCACCTAGCTTAATCTCCACATCACTATTAAGGCACATGTCACCTCAGTTTTATAGGAAAGAGAACTGGATTCCCATGGGATGAATTGGCTTGCCTAAGGCCACATCGCTGCTTCTTCAACCATACACTCTTGTAACTATAGTAAGTTAGCCAAGTCTTCAAAGCTGGAAACATGGAGATACCTCAATTAATGGATTAATGTGATCTAATCACATCTACCCCCTCTAGTTATTATTGAGTAATGCTTCCTTGGGCTCAGTGGTGAACCACTGGCAGTGTTTACTCAAGGACATCAGTTCACTTTTGACTGAACTCTGTGTTCCTGCATCCCAGTCTGCTCAGCCACAGTGGTCAAGGAATGAACAAGGCTGTTGTCTTGGTTTCACAAACTATATTTACATTATAGAAGTCAAATCCAGTGAGGCAGTAGCTGCATGAACTCATGCATCTGAACAGAATTTGGTTTTCTGCATAATTATATGTAGACCCAATAAGTGATGTGCACCAGTACATTTCATCCCTATCTGCCATGTATATGGAGTCATTATTAATTATAAACAGGTTATCAACTGATAGCTGACTATCTGAAGAAACTCATGTGATCAGAGAGTGCAGTTACTGAAGGACAACATGGACATTAATGAGTAGAACAAATACAGACACTCACAACCAGACAATAGGTAAAGAGTGAGGTCAACTCTAGACAAGGTGTCTCCATCACCTCCCTCCCCTCAGGGCTCAACCCTGCAGAAGAAGAGATGAAAAGAATGTAAGAGCCAGAAGAGATGGAAGACACCAAAGAAACAAGGCCTCTAAATGAATATAATGGACACAATATGAACTCACAGAGACCGAGGCAGCATGCACAGGACCTGCATAGGTCTGCACCAGATGGAGTCCTAGAGCTGAAAGGAGAAGTGGGCATAGGTCCCATTCCTAACACAAAAACTATGTTTAATTGAAAACCACTAGCAAAAGAAAATTAATTTTTTTCAAGGAGTTATACTGGGGGAGGGGGGAGAAAACTACTCTTAAGGGTTGACTTCATGCCCAACAATAGATGATCAGTAGAAAAGACACTTCATTGACATCTTTGGAGATTCAAGTCATTTTGTTGTTGTTGTTGTTTAATTTTATCTCTTTTTAAAAATTTAACTTTATTTATATTTCTCCCATTTTACCCTACAGGTTCTTTGTATATATATTATGGCTTCCAGTTTAGTGTTTTTATGAGAGTATTGAGTGTGGAGAAGAGTGGGTCTCTGTTTCTTGTACTTTCTCTTGGACTCTTTTCCTTGTATTGGTTTGTTTTGTTCTAACCCAGTGTGTTAGTTTTTGTTTTATTTTATTTTTATCTCTCAAAGCCTGTTTATTTTCTGAAGGAAGACAGAAAGACAATGGATCTGGATGGTAAGGGAGGCAGGAAGGAACTAGGAGGAGTAGAGGGAAAGGAAACTGCAATCAGGACATATTATGTAAGATATAAATATCTATTTTCAATAAAAGGAAAAATAAAAACTAGAAAGAAAGAAACTAAAAGATAACTATCATGGTTTTCTTTTCCTCTAGGCTTGCCCCCTCACTGCCTCACACCTTGAAAGAAGGGCACGAGCACGCTTCTGCTGAAAACATGTCTTTAGAAACCTTGAAAAACAGCAGCCCGGAAGATATCTTTGATTAGATACAAATCCTAGGACCTGACTTGTGTTCATTAAGCGACTTTCTTTGTCCAGCTCTTTCAAATGAAAAGACAGGCATTAAGCTTAGCAGCAATGGTTACTATGTACACACAAAGTGAATTACAGAATTATATGATAATCTGATTGAATGGCAAAGGGACACTTTTATCAACCATTCATGTTGCCTACTAAATCTGAATTTTTATTCCAAAGGGTACATTTATCATATTCCTTTACATGTTATTGTAACTTTTTAATGACTCTTGGAAGATTTTGGTAATAGGGCAAAGGAAAACCATCTTTTTAAAATGTCCCTGATTCTATTTGAATTGCACTTTAAACAACATGTTTGAAAACTTCAATTTATGAAGTGACACATATAAAATATATCTTTATGTTGTATGTAAACAATCTGAATATCTGATAATTAATAAAAGTTTGTGTTCCTAAAGAAACTTTAACAGAACTTTGTCTTTATTGTAGTAACTTATGTTTCTACAGTTCTCACTGGTGGACATCCCATGTTCCAGAGATGGCCCACAGCCATGCACACATTGGCAGCATTAATTGGCCTTAGTGGGTTATTAAAAAAGACATGAAGATGGGAAGGGAACATATTGATTAATATGTGGAAGGATTTGGAGAGGAGAAATGGGACACAAATTTATTGCATTTCATTGCACATGTGTATGAAACTCAAGAATAAAGAAAAATGTGAGTGTTTGCATATGTAAATATGACCATTCTTGGAACCAAAAAAACAAAATAGGGAACAAAACATAACCTTTTTCAGGCCTTTCTTGAAAGCAAAGACCATATCATATATATCACTAGTAAAACGCAATACATTTCTTACTGTTCACTTCCTGACCTCTACTTCTGACACCATTTTTTCCAACTGAGCATCCATTCCCTCCTGTCAAAATTATAATGCACGGGATGCCGTCAAATCGGTAGTTGGTCCACTCTGAGTCATCTGAGTTTTCTGATAAAGCTCATCGACTCTGTTTCCTGCTTCTGGAACTTCATATGTTCTGTGTGGTCCTCCTTCATTTTGGCCACCTACTAGTAAAAACTTCTCGGCTGATTCTTCTCTGCTCAGTAGCTAAATGATGCTTGAGTGCCCTGGGATACTCTTCAGCACACTGTTCGTTATTATCCATAGCACCACTTTAGGTTGCATATGATTTTAAATGTCACCTATATATTTTTATCTCCAAAGTTAATAGGCAAAGTTATAAAGAGACTTACATGTATGTATGTATATATATAGTTTGTTTATTTTGTTGCTGTCCGTAAAGTGGTTACATTTATTCATTTAACATTTACATATCGAAACATGTAGAGAGAGAAAGACAGACAGAGACAGAAAGATAGAGACAGAGAGAGATTTTCCTACATTTTGCCACATTTGGCTTATGCCTAAAATCCCATGACTCAGGAGGCAAAAGCAGTAGAATTTGCCAATGGATTAAAGGCTAGCCTGGATTACCTAGTGAGTTCCAAGCCAGCCTGGGATACATAAAATTAGTTTAAAAAGAAAATTCTCACCACATTTTAATTTTTGCTAGATTTCTTAAGAAGAAAGATCTAGTTGTGTATATAAATTATCAGTTATAAATATAATTCTAAAACACAAACCTACTTAGTCACCCAGGAATGTTACTGTACTGTTGAGTCTTCAATAATCTAAGATGTATATACTTTAGATCTTTACAAGGGACTTTTAAATAGGAGATGGTATGCAACTAATTGAAAATATGCAACGAGTACATGTAGAGTAAAAGAAAGAAATCTTAATGTATTTCCAATGTAATACTAACAATAACATCCATAAAGTTCATCAGATTTTGAAGTTTTGAATTTCAATTTTATCTTTGTAGGACAATGGATATTTTCACCCATTGCTGTGCCACACTGATCCAGTTGGTTACAAAAGGGTGCATACAGCCTGTAATCCACAGGTTGTTCCTATCTTGTGGAGACATGAAAGGCATGGAATTCTGTTTCACATACCATATAGACAGCTCTCTACGTGGTAGTCAGATCCTGCCAGTCCAAGCCATGTTGATGCCTATGGTTTGCACTGTCTGTGCCCTGAAATAAAGTATGCTCAAGAACACTGACTTGTAAGACACAGAACTGGAATAGACATCATGACTCTTTGAATGTTAGTATCCTCATTTGAAGACAAATGGATCATTTCCAGGACAGGGATCAGCTTAAAATTTCCAAGTTTGGGGACTGACATCAGATGTGGTCCAGGAATCATTAGGGAAGGAAGAAAAAGTCCCTGCACATGAAAAGGTGTCTATTATATGGTTTTGAAAGTCCAGAGATCTACTTTTGAAAAGGTTTGCTTCATGGCCTATAATTCAAATTTGTAAAATACAGGACACTGTGTCTTTGAGCCAAGCAATTCTTTGTTGGGTGTTCGGCTCAACAAATGTTTACCAAGGAAAGGTTATATACAACGTATGGAGTGGGCCATCTGGAGAATAAAGGGTAAGTCTATTCATTTTACAAACGTCACTGGAATTCTATGCTGTTTTTTTTTTCTTGGTATGAGATTGACCGTGAACAATACAGGTAAGTGCCCTGTGGAGCCCTCAAAACAGGCCTGTGTATTGAGAAGCTGCAACTACCCTATAATTAATTGAGTTCCTGGGGCTCTTTTAGGATATCCTAGAATAAGAAAACAAAAGAAAAGAAACTTATGGTCAGTGAGAATTTCCCTGGACATGGCCCAGAAAAATCATCCTTCATCCTTTCACATCTCTCATCTCTACACTTTGTATCATTTATAGCATCAACCACAAATATCTGACTACTACATTCAAAGTAAGCCTCCTCGACTTACCTGTGAGTTAACAAGCCCAGAAAACACTAGTTACATTTCTGTCTCATCTTAATGCTATTATAGGAGGAAATGATGACACCCACGAGACCTATCCTGCACCTATCTATGACTGTGGTCTCGATTCAAGTTTTTCTTCAGGGTTCTGACAGTTTCTAGCAAACACTTTTCAGGTGAGATTTCACTGTATCTTTTCCCTGAGTTAACCTGGAATGAATTTCTCTATATACCAACTTAAAGAGTGCTTCGAAATAATCGTCTGCTTTCTCTCCTTCTGACCAGTAACTCTCATATCTCCACAGAATAAAATACTCTCCAGGCTACATTTGGCTCATGTTTACCCTGCCCTAGGATCCTTTCATTTGCCCATGATTTCTGATTTTCCTCTCACATATTTGAATAAAATTCAACATGAATTTTATTGATGGTCTATTGATTTTTTTCTTTCTGTCCTTTACGGATTTGTCTGATATCCTTTTCCCACAATCTCATAGAGAATACACTTTCACACAAGGTTTCATTACCCCTAAAGACTCTTGATTCTACAGGAGAGAATCACCCCTATTTACATAATGATAGGGTATTTTTTTTTCATGAAAAGCAGGAAAGATTCTTCTGGTGGCCAAAGTTCCAGTTGAAGAAATAGGGATGAGCCTTGAACCATTTGCTTTGTTTATAGAGAGTTTGCAATGTAATGGTGATCTCGGATACACTAGCCAGTCAAGCATAGGTAAATTAAACAATGTTTATGGAACCTGCTTATACAAGACCCTACTCTAAACTCTTTGCCTCTGAGCTATGCTCTTTGGCAAAAGCTATGATTGAGATAACAGCTTTTATGAAGGTAGTATCCTTAGGGATATAATCCAGACATCAAGAAAGTGTGAGGCAACTTAACATAGGAAAGCAGAAGGCAACACAGAGATGCCCTATCAAGATGGCTGCTTTGTGGTCTTTATGTGTTACCATAAGGATCTTGGAAGAAACCATTTAGATGTTTTTTTTTCAGAACTATGCATGGGAGAGTGCAAAAGAAGATATATTTATTTGTTGGTCAGTGGTGACCTAATACCTTGATCCCTCCTGTTTCAGCTCCTGTTGATGACCCATGTGGCAGTGACAGAAAACATCCTTGAGTCAAAGCAGAAGTTAATACACGTACTAAATCTTACTACAATTGATTGATGGTGATTTTGAGGATTTTGAGCCATAGCTCAATGACTAACAATGTGGCACAAATTGTTTTATGCCATTTCATGCTGCCTCATTTCATAGTCTTAGTCAATTTGATAAGACTGAAGGGCCAAGGAATAAATGACCTGGCTAAGTTGTGTTCATGACTTGTTGACCTGTAAATTATGAGGAAACTAGAAGGACAAAAAACACCTGTGCAAACTGGCAGAGAGAAGCAAAGGACTCTAAAAGCTAATGACGAGGGAAAACAATGCCTGTTGTGGCCCTGACACCTGTGCTTTGCAGAGCCAGCTCTAAGTATACTGTTAAGCACATGCTCCTCTTTTGGTACTTTAATTAGTTGAATGGCTCCTTAAAGGGAGGGGGCACTAAACTATCAAGGAAATGTAATACCTTTTCTAAAGATTCCAAGTAGTGATTCCCCAGAAAGTTGCTGTCTCCTATGGTTGGCCTCTGCTGACTTGCAGATCATAACTGAGTGTGAGTCTGATCTGCAAGCTAGAGCCTAGTCCACTTCATTGAAACTTTCAGGAAAGCTGTCTAGCTAAGTCACTGCAGATAGGCCAGGCCTCAGGACTACTGTCAAACATAGGAATAACCACTTGCTACAGTGTGTGTGTGTGTGTGTGTGTGTGTGTGTGTGTGTGTGTGTGTGTGTGTTTGTGTGTGTGTGTGTGTTGCAGGGTGGGACATCGCACCCACCCCATGAGTGTAAGTCCCCTTAGAGGCCACAAGAAGGCATTGGATCTCCTGGAGCTGGGGTTGGAAGTGGTTTTGAGACAGCTGATGGGAGTATTAAGAACTCAACCACTGATTCATCTCTCCATGCCCCAAATTTGCCATTTCTGAAGTTCATTTCTCCATCATTACCCTAGAATATTATTATGCTCTCATTTCTTTGAGAAACTTCATGGAGAAAATATTGGAGACCAAGGAATGCAAGAAGGAGATAGGTTAAGTTTTTCAACTTCACTTCAAGAATTCTACCAGTTTGACTGAGGTAGCCACCATTTGAGGCACAGAGGGATGGATGTATCACGATCAGTCCTTTGTAGTAGGAAGAAACCATAGGCTGAGGAGGTAGGAAAGTAAGATGTTAACATGAATGGAAGGCTCTAGAAGATTCTTAAGGGAAGTAAGGAGGTGACTTGATTGGATCTGTTCTGTGAGTGAAAATTTTAAAGGCAATGTGAGGGCAGGCACAACCATATACATTCAAAGGGTTCCAATTTGTCTGTAGGCTGTGCAACTCCTTTGTGCTATTTCCAACTTGTGTGGGTTATCATCAAACTGTACTTCATATCCAGGAACATTCACAGATTAAACAATCTGGAATTTGAAAACCAGCTGACAAACTCTTGACCCATCCCTATTGAGAGGCCACATCTTCAGGAAAGATTTCAA